TAACATATATATAGCATTTTTGCTTACCTGTAGAACCTATACTGCTTATTACACCAGAAACAGTTTCGCTCTGCCAGCATTTTTTGAAAGTCAAGTCATTGTCCACCCAGGTTTCGTCCAAATAAACTATATTGCGCCCTTCTTCACGATATCTACGTATTTCACGGATGTATTTGTACCTCCATTGCAATATATTGGGCCTCTCCATCAAAACTTTTCTTTTATTTTGACATTTGCGCCAAAAAAAACCATTTGATTTTAATAAACTCCTGAGAGTTTCCCTAGAATAGGGGAAATTTGAGTCTTCTCGCAACTTTTGTAATAACTTCCTAGTTGTCGGGACAACTTTATATTCAAGATAAAATTTGTTTATCAAATGTCTAATAATCTGAAAATCCAAATCTTCATCTTTCTCAACAAGAGACTGACGCGGTCTTTTTTTTTCCGGGACTGGATAACATTTTATTCGGGTTATTTTCTAGTCTTTCTTTATCTTCGTTATGGATTTTCCTAACAGAAGATACTCCGACTCCGGTATAAAGGGACACCCTATCAAGCTTACGTTTAAGCGGCAACTTGAGGGAATTGTTTTGCCGCTTCCTCATCGCAAACCCTATAAATAATCATCAGAATGTTAGCTTAGCATTTCCTTGTTTTTTATTTATATTCAGACTCAGTCGTCAAAAACTACAATTATTGCATATTATTATTACTAACCTATAAACATTCGCAATCACTTCTCTTGTTTGGCTATGAAGCGTCTTTCCGCGAGTAAATTGGTTCATTTTAAAAAAATAATACTAAAACGAATAACAATATCAAATAACAAAACACTAAACTATTCAAAAACACACAGCACTAAACATACAAACTTAATAGAACAATAAATAGTTAACAATAATAGTTGTAAAACTCATATACGACAATTAACGGAGATAAAACCTACGCCACTGGACTTTCAATAGTATGGATATTCTAAGAAAGGAGCAAAAAATTGTCTGGGACGCTACCCAATAGGGAGTCGAATTTTCTCATGGCGACAAAACATGTGAGGATATCCGCCAATCAGATTCGTTTAGGCGGTGTCCAATATACCTTTCGGGTGGTTGTTGCCAGCTCAACCGATGTAGATAAGATCTTTGGAAAAATGTTTACTTATAATACGATTCAGTAGTAAAAAATAGTTAGTAAATACAAATAGAGCTAACAACCCATTAAAATTCTCAGTATTTTGAATTAATATTTTTTGGAATTGTGAAAAATCGATTTTCAAATCATTGAAATTACTTTTATTATTATTATTGCTTTTTTGTAGTTAAATTTGGCAATATCGAATATTTCGGTCGCATTCCTTTCGCTGTTGCAGATCCGTTTGCCAAACTATACCTCATTGTTTATACGGATATGCAAATTACGCTCAATATTTCTCCTAAGTGTAAAATTAGATCCCCAAATTAAAGCTTTTGATTTAGAAGCATTAAGTTTTGAATCGTGGCGTATGGCAAAACTGTTTACCTCTAGCAGGTCTCAATTAATATGATTTTCGGCTGTGCCTAAATTGTCGTTATTAATAGCAATAGAAAGTTGTGAGTCATCGGCGTTCTGATGAAGCCTTGCAACAGCTTCAGACATATCTGTCACATAAATACTAAACAGCAATGGCGAAAGGATTGATCCTTGATGGACACCTTGTTTTACAGGTTTAAATTCAGATTTGAGGCAAACGGATCCTTGAGGAATCACAACACATCTTGATCGAGTACTTAGGTATCTTTTTATTGCATTAGGCGAGAATCCAAAATAGCTTAGCTTTGCCAGCAGCATTCTGTGATTAAGGGCCAATTTCACCAACAACAGTCCGTTATTATCAACCTATAGGGTAACAGACCGTCAGATACAGCGAAATGAGCTTCAAGTTCCAAACAACAAATTTTATCAACCAATAGCTATGAAATGTTGAAAACAAAATACTGAATATTTTTCGTTGTTCAGGAACTGAACAAACTTCCACACTATATTCACAGCGATTCAGAAATTCCCAAATATATGCCTTAAAGCTACCAGCAAACCTAAAACCTGCAAAAAAAACTACAAATTTGCCATATTTTTCTTTTTTCACGAGTACACATTCTAGGTTATATTTATATTAGACATTATTTGAATACAGCTGATTATTGCATTTCAAGGAGTGAGGCATGTGTGGGATGTGTCAACTCTTGGTACCAGTCACAAAACATATACTCTAAAGGCTTAATTCCATGCTATTCATTCAATGACAACACGGTGTTGTGTGTTTGTCAGCGGCCATTCTTTGAGGGTGCGACAGGGTTGCCAGATTGTTCATTAATATCCCGTTTCACCCTCCTGGTCCCAGTGGAGTAAGTTCCGCCAACTGTTGAAATATACTCTACTATGCTTTATAAGACTATCCGTGACATTTTTCCCAGAATCATTGCACAACACTCGAAAAATTACAAATGAAAATTTAAAATCATTTCCATGACGCCGCAAAATAGCTCCGTCGGTACCTTGGGTTATACATCTTGTCAGTAGGGATGTTCGATACGATCCTATATTTAGAAGTATCAATACATTTCACGAGTATCGTCATCTTTCGATTCGGACTGTGTCAGAAAGAGTTACTGCCATTTGGCTGCGACATTACCCTGCAAAATCAGACATATCCTTTCATCATTTTCAAAGAAATCTTCAAATTTGTGAAGTTAGTGAGTTTCACTTCATACGTTGTTACCAGACATGCCCAAATATCAGTTGCTGCCGTGATATTCATCCCGACCTCAGTGTTTGTGCACTGATTGCAACGGTTAGATGATACCAAAAATATTTTCATAAATAGGAGATCTTTTCCATTCCGGATCGAACAATCTACCAATGATGCTTATAATGATGATACCTAGTAAATTTTCACGAAAAAAATGCAAAACCAACAAATCTAAAAGATTCATTTCGCACCCTCCACTACGGGACGTGATCGTCGTTAGACTTGGCAACCCTCGAGTGACAGATAGATATCCCCGCCAGTCAAAAAGAAAAACATTACTAGTTTTTTATGGTTTTTGAGAGAGACATTATTTGTGAAACATTTTTCATAATTTTTCTGTCTATGTCCATAGTAATTGCATTATGCATGAGGGCGATGTAGGGATTGACACGTATTACACATATTATCTGTGTTTTAGGATGGAGAGGACATAATGTTTTCATTGCTTTGTAGAAATTCATTAACCCATAAATTAATAAATGATTACTATTATGACGTAAAGGAAGGCGAGGAATTGGATGGAATGTATTTTATATTCTATTTTCTTGCAAAATACAGACCAATCCACACTATTCAACAAGTATGAAATGATAACTTTCAGTATATTGAAGTTGGTAAATTCGAGAGTTCCATGCATTAACAAACGTCCAAATCTGCTGCCAAATTTAACAGCTAGAAAATCGACCTATTATTTGCCGCATTACCATTCGCTGAAGGGGATAACGGACTGTTAAATGTAAACCTATAACATATATCATAATAAATGAAAGTTGTCCTGTTTTTTCTGTACAAAAGCATCATGTTGGAATCAAAAAGAGGTCTTGTTTGTAATACAGTCGAATTTCACGATTTTATTCAATATTTCAATAGAAATCACTAATATTCAGAGACCTTTGACAGCTTCTGACAGCATTTGTCCATAATATTAAAGTTGGTGAAACCGGCCCTTAGAGTGTCAAAAGCTTTGCTAAAATCTAACAAAATCATGCAAGTAGCGTTTTTTTGGTCCTCATGCATTCGGACATCGTTTAAAATATTTACCAAGCTTGTAGTTGCACTGAAATTCTTCCTGAATCCCGATTGATATTGAGGAATGATATTTTGCGATTCAGAAAATTCTGACAGCTCTCCAAAAATGTGCTTTTCTATAAGTTTTGACACAGAGGACAAAATACTAATTGGTCTGAGGTCTTTCAGCTCTTTAGGCTCGCCAACCTTTGAAATGGGTTTCACAATAGCCTTTTTCCAAACAGAAGGATAAGTACTTTCCAAAAGACATGTGTTAGTAACATGTGTTAGTAATATTAATCAATGCATTTGCGCAGAAAGGAAGATACAATTTTCTGTCTTTGATGGATCGCACCCGATGAAATGGAATTAACAATATTTATTAATTATTATTAACAGCTTTATTATTTTCATAAGAACTGATTAAGTTAAATGATGCAGTGTCTGGCAGGTTATCAGTCATCTAAAAAAAATCATGTATCTCTGATGGATTTAAGAGATTATCAGGAAGTTCAGTAAGAGTAAGAGTTTTTTCTTGCTAGTTGATTAAAATAGGCAACTTTTTACCGGATAATAGCGTGCTTAGTGAAATTTCTATAATATCTAAGGTGCTGACCGCTTTTAGATCTTAAGTATTTTTTATGGGCTTTATCTCTAATTTTTATCAAAAGTTTTATGTTTTCTGTTATCCAGGGAAGAAGCGGCTTTTCTATCTTAATTTTTCTTGTTTTTAGAGGAGCATGCTTATTAGTGACTGTTAAAATATATTTATTAAATAATTTCACCTTTTCATCTACACTGATACAATACTACTCTACGGAAGCTGCATACCATCATAGAGAAATGACTGTTCACGTATATTATTATAATCACGATAAGTAACGTATTTTGGAGAACTGTTTGTTTTTTTTAATGTTAAAGATCGAATAAAATAAATTACGGTAGAGTGTGATGTCAATATATCATATCTAGTTGGCTCAGATATTTTTTGAGAGAGATTGAATGACTGCAATATGTTTTCAAAACGCCTGGTGTGATACGATTCACTCAGTTAATCAATGTTAAAATCTCCTGTGACGACCAGACAGTTATAACCAACGAGTGACAACTGTTTTCAGAACGATAGAATTTGGAGGAAGGTAAACAAATAATAATTGTGATGGAAGTGGATCACTCCATCAATGGAAGAGGGCTGCCTTCAGTTCTCTTGTCACTTACCATTCGTGAATTGGAGAAGTTGAAGTTTCAACGCACGTATTTCAGCAGTGAGCCTTTCAACTTCTTGCCTGTTTTCCTCTTCCCGCTGTTGCAACAACTGCTGCAATGAGAAACCATCCTGCTGCGTTTGGCTACTGCTATCTTGTTGATTGCCTGTTATTGTTGAACCTGGAACAACGTAACTAATGTGAACATGTGGGCCGTCAATCTATATATTTATGCTCTTGCTACGTGAACTCATGGATAAGGTGACAGCTTAATAATGCTGCTTTCGCCAATTCAACCAACAGAAGGTCAACCGTGCACTGTGCTATTCCATGCTTATTTGCAATCACCAGCACGATCTAGGTCCGTAGAAAGGAGGTACCTAAGTAGCACAACGAACGAAAGCAGAGGTATCTTCTATCAGAGATATAAGTTCTATCGACATACGAAAGCACAAAGCGCCATCTTTTACCAGAATGAACCACTGCGAGGGTGAACACCTGCTATACAGGGTGTTCCTTAATGATATACGAATATTTCGGGGTGTGAATCTACATGAAGGATTAATGTTAGCTTGCTTGATAAACTATGATCCAAAAATGTTTCCTTACAAAAACTCGGGGTGTAGAAGTTTTAGGAAAAAAATGGAAATTAATATTTCAGAACCGCTTTAGATATTTCACTGACATTTAGTACGTAGTGAAAGTTAATAAAGTTAAATATTTTTCAATGCAAAAATAATTTTTAGCTTTAACAGTGGCGTGCGTACAGGTGTTGACTTCGATATTTCTTAAGAAAAAAATAGTACGCCAATGGTTTTTTGCCAAATAAAAATTATTTCTGAGTTACCCATTCAATTTAAAACAAATTATCTTTCTTGAATTGTTTTTCGTCGACGCGCCATTTTTGAGTAAAAAAAAAGCCGTTCTATTTTCCAAGAAAATTAATGTTATAATTGAAGAATGCAATTCAGCAATAAATATCTGGTTGCTCTGGAATATGTCACTGGCTTTTGACATCTGACAAGTCTCTGTTATTCAAATCTGTTCGCTGTGACATCTTTTTCATTACTTAGTTTTTACAATCTTGTTAATAATGGTGAATTATTCAAATGCAGAAATGGCGGAAATGCATTGCGAACTATATATACGTATATATGGCTTTGCCGGTGGTAATGGTGAGCAAGCCAGACGGATTTACCACAAGAGATATCCCGATGATGCTTTGGCAGATAGTAGAACATTTTTTAATATTCATCGTCGTCTTGTTGAAACTGGTTCTGTCCAAACAATAACATCTGAACGTAGACCTCTAAGTCGCAGAACGTCCTGAAACGAGTACGAGGAAGATCGCTAGACACTTAAATATTTGCCATCAAATTGTTTGGAGAATTTTAGTGGACTTTTTGTTATATCCTCACCATATTTTAAGAGTACAGGCATTACTTCCTATTGATTTTACAAGGCGTGTGACCTTTTGTCAGTGGTATCTTCAAAAAATTACACAAAATACGCAATTTGAACCAATGATTCTGTTCATGGACGAAGCTAATTTTTCTCGAAGTGCCATTCAGAATTTCCACAATACTCGTAATCATTTGTGGACAGATGAAAATTCCTATGCCGTAACCAAAACCCGTTTCGAACACCAATCTTCGGTTAACGTATGGGCAGGAATTATTGCCAACCACTTTATTGGCCCATTCTTCTTGCCGGGACGACTTGACGGACAGACTTACCTCAATTTTCTTCAACAACAGTTGCTTTTGCTGCTTGGTGATGTTCTGTTACTAATAAGAAACAATATGTGGTACATGCATGATGGTGCACCACCGCATTTCAGTGTAGCGGTTCGTAATTATTTACAAACTGTTTATTCAAATCGTTGTATTGGCCGCGGTTGGCCCCAAGAATGGCCATCACGGTCCCCAGACCTCAACAGTTTAGATTTCTTTTTGTGGGGCTATCGTAAGACACTATTATACACAAGTCCCATTAGCACTGTAGAGGAATTAAGAGAAAGGATAGTTGCAGCTTGTGATAGAATAAAAAACGCTCCAGGGAGTGCGCAATTACATGAGAAGGAGGGCGGAAGCATGCCTACGAGTATTAAATGGCGCCATTTTCAACAACTTTTGTAACCACTTCGTTGGTTTTAATGTGATGTTCATGTTGTCAGTTGTTGTTGTTCATTACCCCTTATGTGTTTAATTTTTCCAATTAAATTAATAATTGCAAGTTAGACACTAGAACGGTTTTTATTTTTTAACTCAAAAACGGCGCATCGAAGAAAAGCAGCTCAAGAAATAACATTTGTTTCAAATTGAACGGGGAATTCAAAAATAATTTTTATTTGGCAGAAAACCGTTGACGTACCATTTTATCTTAAAAAATATTGAAGTCAATTCCCATACGCACGCCACTGTTAAGCTAAACATTATTCTTGCATTGAAACATATGCAACTTTATTAAATTTCACTACGTACTAAATATCAGTGAAATATCTGAAGCGGTTCTGAAAATATCAATTAATTTCCATTTTTTCCCTAAAACTTCAACACTTCGAGTTTTTGTAAGGAAACATTTTTGGACCATAGTTTATAAAGCAAACTAACATTAATCATGTAGATTCACACCCTTGAATATTCGCATATCATTAAGGAACACCCTGTATATTGGATCTGTAAAGTTCGACAGCCGAGTCATGACTATGATCGTTTGATGAAAAACATGTACCCGGTCCGCCATCGACAAGTATGTAATCGATTGTATTTAGCATCGACAAATATAAATAAAACGCGTCTAACTTCTAGCTCGATATTGTCCTGCCTATCATGTATCCAAGATATATACCGTAGCCTATGGAAGTAATGACTATCTGCTTGGAGCATAGCAACCAAAGCAAACAGAACCATGAACGTAGATCAGACAATATTTAGAGTAACTCTCTCTCTGTCTCCCTCTCTCTCTCTCAACAATTCCAGAAAAGGAGACAGGTCGTCGTGAGCCCTACTATCAGAGAGGAATGATCTTTAGATGAGAATAATGCGATCTTTATGTGACAACTTAACTGGCTAATACAGCTCACTAATAAGACACGTGTACATCAATTTTGCAATAAGGAGTACTCCGTCACAATTTTTGGCACTGTGAGGCCTTAAGATGTCATGTATATACTAAGTGACATATAAATCCGAACACCCAGTTTAAATGGTTTTATTTTAATAAAAGTTGGTGAATGTATTTATCTTACTGTAAATAACAAGTTAAAAATTTTTCAGCCTTATCAGTTGGACATTCTGGTTTTTATACTGCTTTTTTTTAATTCACTAACGCTCTAAAAATGAATATTCAGCCGCAGTAAAGAATCGACGTTGGCAGATTTTAGTTCTTGACAACCTTTACGATCGGTTACGATGCCTAGAGTACGGAGACCTGTACGATTTCGTCAACTTAGTGAGTTTGATAGGGGCCGTATAGTGGGACTTCGGGAAGCTGGACTTTCTTTTCGGGCAATTGCAGTTAGAGTGCAAAGAAGTGTAGACACTGTGGTTAGGTGTTGTCAGGCATGGCTTCGAGAAGGCAGTACGCAAAGAGCAAGGGGCACTGGACGCGCCGTAGAATAACAGACCGTGAAGATCGCCGCCTAAGATTATTGGCCTTAAGGAACCGTTTTCTCCACTACCAGGTCCATTGCAAATGAACGGTTTGCAGAACACGGAAGACCTATTGGCATGCGAAGTGTTTACCGACGAATGAGAAGTTTTGGCTTGTTTTCATACCGGCCACACTCGGTCCTCTCTTAACTCGAGAATACCGACGTAATCGCCTTGAGTGGTGCAGACAACGGTCACTCTGGGATCAGGAATGGAACAGTATTGTCTTTAGTGACGAGTCTAGATTTTGTTTAGGCATGCAGCATGCACCATTGTCGTGCCAGGGTTAGAAGGCGACGTGGTGAAAGGAGGAATCCACAGTTTTTTGTTGAAAGACATGTTCATCACACTGTTGGAGTTATGGTTTGGGGTGCTATAGCTTATGGTTCCAGGTCACCTTTAATCTTTATCAGAGGTAACATGAACGCGCAGTGTTATATCCACGAAGTTCTAGAACCCCATCTTTTACCCTATCTTGACACCCTGGCAGATCCAACTTTCCAACAAGGTAATGAGTCACAATAGACTTCTTTCAACATAATGATGTCACATTGTTACCATGGCCATCAAGATCTCCCGACTATCCCCAATTGAGCACGTGTGGGATATTATGGGTAGGAGATTGCTCAATTTGCAACGTCCTCCTCAGACTCTAGAAGCACTTCGAGAGGAGTTGGTGGTTGCCTGGAATGAGATACCACATGAGGACATTGACCACCTGATCAGAAGCATGCCTAGGTGTGTTGGAGAATGCGTAGCACATCAGGGTGCATCCACACATTATTAAAGGTCAAAGGGCTTTAGAGCCGTGCAATCATTTGAAATTTTTATCATTTAATTATTATGCTTCATTAAGTACTTATACAAAATTTTATTAAAATAAAACCATTTAAACTGGGTTTTCGGATTTATATGTCACTTAGTATAGGTAAAATATAGTGTGATGTAGGAAATTGAAGCTAGAAGGAGGTGGCCTAGTCTGGATCTGAGAAACGTCAGTTACTATGTGAAAGAAACTGACCAGGCAGCTACAACTAGCTGCATGGTCATATGGTATTTTCTTAAAACAGATTGCGTCATAGATCATCAAACAACTTATTTTGCTATAACAAAAAATCCTTGAAGACACATTATTTCCTACTCCAACGACATGGAAGGTAACACGAGTACAAGTAAAAACCCAAGTTCCAGCAGTCCGCTACAATTGTCAGCATCCGAAAAGTCCGCCGAAGCTTTTATCGTTTCACGGTTAAGTGAAGCGTGCAGGACGGTCGAACGCTATACTGCTGTCTAAATCTGTTTTTTAAAATGCAAATCGGACTCCAGAAGCGAAAATCCCCAGATAGTAGGTGAGAAATGAACCTGGAGATAACGGGAACGAGACGACGAGATGGTGGTGTCCAGGAGCGTATTCGAAGGGGTTTCCTTACTTCTGTCGCAGTACGTTTTCATAACGAATTGTATCTACAGAAAAATCATTCCTGCTTCACGGAATAGCCGCAAAGACAAAGCCTAATCACAAAGGCAT